ATATATATATATAATGTTAATAGTGTGTGTGTGTGTGTGTGTGTGTGTGTGTGTGTGTGTGTGTTCACAGACAGAGGGGGGAGAGAGATGTGCCGTAGAGTACATTGTGCAAACAAACGTTCGAGTCGTCTCTGGCGGTCCTGAATACATCGTCCTCCTAAGCACGGTGAACAGTTCCCCAGCAGCTCTCCCTCGGCTGCAGTCTGAATACGGGGCTATGGCCGGCACAGCCACCCGCACTCACTCGGGCTGCCTTACTCTGGATGCACCTGTGAAAACAGGGAACTACACCCACTTATCGTTTTAGCTTTGATATAAATATGGGTGAATCCATTTTATTTGCATCTCGCTTCAGCCCACACACACACACACACACACATAAATCCCATATCCTCGATTAAGGGGATTTAGGCTGCTTAAGTACGCGTGGAGAAAACACAGGTGTGTACGCAGAGAAAGCACGGCTGATAAATGACGACATATGAGTGCGTTACAGTGGTTTAAATTTAACAAGATTGTTTAAAACATGTCTGCGGACTCTTAAGCCTTTTGATAATCTGCAGTTGCCTCATAATTCATGGGAACTATAACATTTATGGAAAAACTGATGACTTATTACACGTTTAAAATATTTCGTAAGTCGTGTGTGAGAGAGCTGCAGAATATTTGAACCCGTGACAAGTTTGTGTGTGTTGGCATCAAACTGATGAGGATCACTAATTTAAAAAAGGAGATTACAGAGAGATGCCGTCCTGTTGCGACTGTAGCTGTTTTTGCTGTTCTTTATTCTGCATGTCCAGAAAGCAGAAATCTGGCCACACACACACACACACACACACACACACACACACACACAGCAACATTCAGAGGAAATGTGTAGCATCACATCAGCGCTGCGCTTCACCACCACAAACGACTCTTGTGTAGATATCAGCCTGAGACTGTCGAAGCTCACCAGTGTTCCCATTCAAGCCACACCTGGTAAAGTTTGAAAACATGACTATGGGATTTTAATTAGACGCAATTAGAGAAGGCGACCATGCGGAGAGCTGGGCGAGCCCCCTGCTTTTTTTCTTTCTTTTTTTTGGGCTGGAGGGGAAAAATACGCTAATTAGGCCGGACTTTTATTCGCGTGACCCGTGGAGACCCTGCGTAAGCTGTTTAACGTCAGCACTCTGATAATTAAAACGGGAATTCGTTTGAATGATCCGTGTTTGTTGACATAAACAGTTACCATCCCATTCACTGTGATGGGATGAGTCGTCTGCGCCACTCTGAATGGCCTGTATGAAAGGATGATCAGCAGAGAAAGACAGAACACTTGCACAGTTTAACATTAGAAAGATCGTCGTGCGTTTCTTCTTTACAAACGATACGATCCCCGAGCATTTTATTCGTTTTAAAACACCAAAATTTGGCGTAAACTGTGATTTTCCAAGAAGCTTTGGGTAGGACTTCCATCCTCTGGCCAAACCTCCGGGGAAGAATGTATTCCTCATCCTGCCAACAAAGCCCGTGTGAGGATTCCCAGAGCTCCTCAGTAACTGCGAGCTGACAATTTCAATGGGCGCCAGCACTTTAAAAAAGACATTCAGAGTTCTAAGTGACAAATGAGCGCTAGACACTTTTCACGCAGCACAATTTCATATGCCATTTGTGTCACTTAGCCCAAACTAGTCATCACACGCGAATCATTTCGTGGCAGCTGCTGTTGTATCTCTTTTTTATCAGCCCGTAGGCACCCTGCTGATGTAGCCTACCATCTCCGAGAGGACGAACAAAAAGGAGCGAATGATGGGCCCATTACAGTCTCAGATGTGAGAGCGTCCAGGAGGAGGCTGGGCTCGGCTTCATGGGCGCAGAGATGGACATTTTTAGGAGCTGGTGTGTTAAAAGTGTCTCAGTTTGACAGTCCTGGATGAGTTTTAGTTTGTTTTACTTCTAAAGGTTTCGCTCCAGGCCTGATAGATGAGATGCATGTCAGTATGCAGTGTAACTGAAGAGTTTCTGATTTTCAGCGAGGACACGTTTTTAATTAGGGCAATAAAATCAGTACGTTTGAGTTGAAGAACAGACCTGATTTAAAAGAGAGATTTAGAGCTGATGTTCGATTGAACGGAAATGTTTTTATGAGCAGAAGTAAAAGGTTCAAATGATTTAACCGCAGAGAGGTGGCTTTAGAATACCACACGGTGCCATCTCTCCATAATTACTGTAGTGGCATAAATACAGTTCTGGTACCATGGACACCGGATATGCTCGGTGAGGGAACCAAGGCGGCCCTTTGCTGACCCACAGGGGACTCACCGTCCGGTGAAAAGGAAACGAAAAAATCAAACTAAATAAATGATCGTTGATCTCACGGTCTTTATTCTGTTCTGTTCTTTTACAAAAAAAGAAAAGAAATTACACACACACACACACACACACACACACACACACACACACACACACACACACACACACACACACACACACACACACACACACACACCTGTATCTATAGTCTTTCATGCGCCGTGTGTGATTTGTTGGTTCATTAGAAGGATGCTGGTAATCTGTATTCTATAATAGCGATGACATTAGGCGTGGTATTTGAAAAGCCGACATTTGATGCAGAAAACCCGAGTGTGGACCGAGTTATGAGCGCATACTGTAAGAGGCAGGGACAGGTGTGTTTATGTATACAGCCGTTGAACCGTAAACCTCATTCTGTGTCCATGAAGGAGCTCTTGACTCTCTGATCCTTCCTTATTTATGTGGAAGTGATCCCCGCCACTTGCTGGAAATGTCACCCTTGGCCGTCGCTGCAGACACGTTGGCTCACAAAGCCGCGAGCTGCGGCGACACGAGCGCACACAGCAACAACCTGTCAGATCTTATGTCACTGCTTATTGCACATCCAGTGTTTATTGCGATGCACAAAAGTCCCCCTGTCTTCTCCCTGTATTAAACCAAATTTGACATTTTTCAAAATAAAAGCATCTGACGGCAGGCTCACACTGGATTCTGTTTGTTAGCAGAATAAATGGACTACAGCTGAATTTGTTGTTTAATGATGAATCAAAATGTTGAATACAAAGAGAAAACGAGCCCCGGGCGAACCCCCGAGGCGCTCGTCCAAAGAAAAGTATCTGTCCAATGGGATTTCAAATCCAAAGTTAACTGTGGAAGTGTGGGACGAGCACTTCCACAGTAATGACGGGTGACGATTGCTGCATCCTGCGCTTTCAATATAAAGTTGAAGCAATAGCGAGGGGAGAGGCCAGCGGAGATTTCAGCATAACGTGGCCATTGTGAATATTTTTTTCATTTGCTCCTGTATTTTTGTTGTCAGATATTTCTGATGTCAGGAATTCTGCCGGCCCTATGGCCTTGTTGGCATCAGTGGTGAGATTGAATGTTTGCGAGTTCAATTCACAGCCGGTAATAACTTGACACTGGGCGTAATGAAACGCGCGGGGTTAAGGCCTCATTCCAAATATTGTCCTGATCATTTCCCAGACCGCAAGAAAATATTAGAATATTATCGTTCAGCAATATTCCGATTAAAAATGAAATTAATTAATGAAGTTGTTTGTTTTTTATTTTTGTTTAACGTGGCGCATAGCTGACCTCCTCTAGAGTCGGGGAAGATGGGAAGGGAAAACTTTTTTTACAGGTTAAGGGAGCGACGATCCAATCTAACATGAAAGTATTTTATCGCACGTCCTTCACAGAAACAGCTGCTTTCTTCGATCCTGTTGGAGTCATTCATTTTGCCTACGTCAAACGCCAATATTCGTTTTTTTCATCAAGTCTATCTGATGACTAATATTGTTTGTTTTTCACTTTGCACTGAACCATTTCTCAGCATGCTCATCCTTTCATTGTGAACGGCTGCAGGCTGCAGACTGCCATCCTGCGCTGCACTGACGGAGCTGATGCAGTGTGTGTGACACTCTCACTAACACTTCCCCAACTCAGCTCAGACAAGCAGCAGCAGCAGAAAGAGCGGCCTGTGCTTCATGTGGTACAGCTGCTATACGGCCTGTCAACACGACCAGGTTATTTCATGGTTTAGTTTCATATCTGCTCAAAACAGTTTGTAGCAAATGTGTTTTTTTCTTTACATTGTTGACATGCTGGTGCTTTACCTTCAATCCGACACGAAAACCCATGTGTTTGATATTCTTTGTGTGAGATGTGACTGTAAACAGCTCCTGTTCTTATTGTTCATTTAATGTCGAATCTATTTTATTTTCTAACCAAGCAAGCATGATGTCATTGACAAAAATGAAACTTACCGTGATGTTAATTTTTCCTAATAAGATTCATTGACCGAGTTGCTACTTGGTAAAATCCTGGGGCCGTACTTCAGAACACGAAATAATCAAAAGCATTACAAATGGCATCCATACACATACGTGCAAAACTATTTTGTTGGTCATCCTAATAGTTTATTAGGGCAACTTTCCGATGGAAGTTACTGTGACCTTATCCTGTACGTACTCTGCACATTCTTGTATAAGTGATTTATTTTAGAGCAGACTTTGCAGCAGGTCCATGCAAATCCAGAACACAAATTCAGCTTTTGCTGCTGGATTTACTGAAAGACTTTGTAAAAATTAATCAAAACATAATTCGTTTGAGTATCGTGCAGACAGGTTAGCATGTCAAACTTGGTGTGATAATGTTTTGTCATCGATTGTGTATCAAACAGGCCGCACACAAATAAAATTATTCAACATGTTTGCTCTGAAATAGACACGTTTGTTTTCCTTACCCTCAACCAAATACCAAACAACAACAGTCACCTCAAGTCACTGTAAAAATAAAACCCCAATAATAATAATAATAACAACAACAACAACAACAACAACAAACAACAACAACAACAACAACAAACACCACTACAATAATAATAATAATAATAATAATAATAATAATAATAGATTAGCCCGTCATGGAATTAGGGACTTGAGGTGAGTGTTGTTGTGATTTTGCACTCCATCAATAAAACTGAAAAAATTAAATTGACACTTGAAAATCTCCCAAATCACGTTTGTATTTGTCAGAGTCACTTTACCACAAATACACAGAAAGATTACAGATATTGAACTACATAGATTTGTAAATCTCACGCTGAAATGCACAGACTGGACAGCATCTGTAACCTGTGCGACTGTGGTGTATAAGGCATGATAACACAATATTAGTGTACAGCTGTATATTGTTACAGTGGGGAACACAAAGTAATCAGTCATTAACTAATTGATGAGGGGTCGTTACAGCCATCCCCGGTCTGCAGGAACGCGACGAGCTCACACAGATAAACACTGTCACGGGGAAATATCTCCACGTTTAATCCGCGCTAACCGCTTATTCCGTCTAACTGAAAGAAATGCAAAAACCTGGCCTGCCGTTGTCACGTGAACACAACGTTTCTATGGTAACAAAAACCACAAACCGTGCAGAGACAGCTGAGAGGCTCGAAAAATGTCTCACCGAGCGTTTAGTAAACGTGTTTACGAAGACAAGCGCGACTTTGACGAAATGAAAAACGCCGCCGCGGAGTTTTATCGAGTGAGCAGAGTCCCCCAGGACATGGAGCGAGCTCTACACCAGCTCTTCCTCCACCGGCCCGCAGACCTGCACGGGTACCTGGTAGGACTGTGAGCCTCTTTCTGTCCCTGTGATGTTAGAAAACAAACAAACAGAAGGTTGTTTGAAGTGTATTTGTTGTTCTTCTGTTGAAGGTATTTCCTGTTTGTAAGCACATATGAGGTGCTGTTTGTCACAGCAGCGTGACGGGGTGTCACAGCCATCACAACGAGCAAACAAAACGACTGTAAATAAAAGATAGCCTCAGCCACCTGACGTCACCTGTTGGTTTCAGACATCACCTTCCTGTGATGCACGAATCAGTTAGTTCTTAGTGACGTTTGACACACTGATTCAGAAAGTTGGATTTTGAACACTATGTTGAAATGTTTTGTCACTGGTGGGAATCATGTTGACTAATCCAAGACAGTACTCAACTTTCTCGCTCTACGAACTCGCTCTACCAAGCGTGTTCACATCACTCCCATCTTATATTCTTTACATTGGGTCCCAATAGAGTTTAGAATTCGCTTTAAAATTCTTGTTTTAACATACAGAGCACTAAATGGCTCCAGATTACTTATCCAAGCTTCTTATAAAACACTGCTGCTCGTCGTCTCCGCCCACAGACTCAGAGTCTCTTAGTTGTTCCCCATACATGACTGAAGACAAAAGGGGCGGAGCCTTTCAGTCTGTTGCACCAAGGCTGTGGAACAGTTTACCACTACAACTACGTTTGCTTGACTCTGTGGATTCTTTTAAAAAACAGTTAAAAACTTTTCTGTTCAAACAAGCCTTTTGTTGATCTACATATTTTATATTTTTGACATTATTTTCATTTGATCTTTTACATTGTATATAATGTCTATTGATTGTATTGTTTATTTTAATATTTTAATATTTGTGTACAGCGCTTTGTGACTGTCTGTCTGTGAAAAGCGCTCAATAAATAAAGTTTACTTACTTACTTTCTTACTCTTCCCACTATTGGGAAGCAGACAGCACACAGCTATGTTAACTGGCTGCTCGTTGGTCAGGTGAAGCAGCTATGCCCTTTACTCCAGTAGCCTCTAAGACGAAAGAAGAAATAGAGGCCCGATCTGGTTTTGTACCAGGCTTCAAATACCAATAACACGAAGGTGTTTTTCAGGTTGTAAAATTTGCCATTTGAACATGGGAGTCTATTGACCCACTTTTTGATTCAGCCTACCCATTAATATTAACAGCCACTGGTAACACTCTGGTGTCATGCCGCTCAGTTGTGCACCACGCAATTTTTCTAATTTTGCAAATATACTTGGTGCAACTCCTGCAACCAGGTGAGGCCTCGAGTGTACAGTCGGTGTATTTTTACTGCCTTCTAAAGGATACATCAGTGCAGAAGCTCAGAGATTTTCCACAGGCAAAGGTGCTGCAGCTTGCAGAAAATTATGTTTACTCGTCTTTACTTAACAAACCTAGTCCTCTAAAGAAAACCCCATGAGCTATAAGACGAATTTAGGACTTACAAGTTATGCTAACTAGATTATGTTGAATACACAGTAATTAACTGGCTAGCTCCTGGCTAACAAGTGCCCCTTAATGTTAAATTAAATGCAGTGAATGCAGCCTTAGTTTTGCAAACTTAGAAGATGTCAGTGTGTATTGGCTGGTTTCTTTTATTGCAATATTGACATTATGTGTTGAAAGGCAGAAATCTCAGTGTTTATTGTAGTGTAAGGTTAACATGAAAACAGACACTAGTGCTCAAGTGTCCAAAGGCTTCTTTGTTGCTCTGATGAGATTATAGTTGTTCTTTCACTACTTTCAAGGTATATTGAATGGAACATGATGTGATTTTGTAAATCATGTTCAGTGTAAGAGAAAGGACGGTCAGCCTGGGTACAGCTATTAGCCCGTGACAATTCAGTGAGCACTTTTGATGCGGTCATTGTGAAAACACTTCATTTTTACCTGTCATGACCGTTTTAAACTATACATGTATATCTCACAGTTGGGCGTATTAATATTTCAGCACCGACAAATGAACAATGACAAGGACTCATTAATCTCTACAAGAGTCTGATTCATGGTGGCCAGCATGCTGGAAAGCTCATCGCACATCTGAAAGAACCAAAGTGGAAACACAACAAACATTATGAGCACAAATATAGTTTGGAATGACAGCGTTAGCCCGTTTCCTCTGCTGCTTTCGTGCTGTTAGATCTCAAAGGCCTGTAAGAGCACGTCCTGTCATAAATGTTCATTTGATATCGAGATTCTTTATTCGTGACATGCATAGTCATACAAGTATAACACGCAGTGAAATGTAACCTGACACACTGCTCGACTTGTGCAAAAGGGGGGAGAGGAAGAGCATTATATATTATATGCATTAGGTGAATGTGCAGTAGTAGCATGTATGCAGCAAGCAGGTGAATTCTGTACATTAAGTGAATTAAATAAGAATAGACAATCTGAACATTTTACAAAATAGACAATATGAACATATTTAAAATTGAAAAAGAATTTGAAAGGTGCATTGTGCCGGTGATGACTGTGCCACCGGCACATGACAGAATTAACAGAATTAATAAGGTTACTGCAAACACTCCAAGGTTTATTCAGTGCTCTGCTGTGGAGCACTAAGCTTTACGAACAAGGTCAAAGATTGTGACGCTGATATCTGCAGTCGCCTCTGTCAGCTTTGGTAATTTTTTAAGAACTTCCAAGTTGTCAGACGTTTTTGTGCTGTTGGCTTTGAAGGGCATGTAGACCACCACAGTGTGTAGATCAAGCTGAAGTCACTGAAGCCTCAGTGTATTCATAAGAAAACACGTAAATATTCATTATCACCTCACAGTTAATCTTCCCCAAACAAAACGTCAGTGTATGATAACGAGCAGTTACAAACAGTCTGCTGTTTTTGCCTGGTAACATTAGTAATGTGGCTTCATGTGCGTTCTTGCACATATTTGTAGGCACACTGTGCATATCTGGTTCTGTAAAAAAATGGCTACATGATGTATTTTGTGTGCAAGCACTTCCTTGGCTGTGAGAGTGGCCGCTGGTCAGCACACGTCGCTGCTGCTTTTACAGGTGAATTTAAAATGTAAATAAAATGTGTTTTCTACACATGTTGTGTTTACTCTGTAACTACTGAACCATGCTATCATTGATGGTAAGGAGGAAACAGAATTGGTTAAATAACGTCACTCAGATACTGCGAGGTGTTTTTAACCATAACCATCCCTTCAGGCGGATTACTTTGCAAACCTCGCGGCACCACCGAGAATCAGCAGAGTGACGGGACGGCAGGTTTACGATGCCAGAGGACGACTTTCTGTTGAGGCAGAGGTCTTCTGTGTTGTTCACAACAAGGACAAGGTAAAAGTCATTTGTCTCATTGTGGCCTTTAACTGGTGAACTCAGAGCTTTCTTATGTGACTGTGGCTGAATGTGATATGGATGAGTTTGGAGAACAAGCCAAAGGGTTGAAGAACATGTTGTTCATTAGTGCAGGAGCAGGTTTGTTTGGCTATGACGTACGACCTTAAATCAGCTCTCAGTTTAGTGAAGGATAAAATGACCTTACCCTCAGCCAGGCTGTCACCCTGCCAGGTGGCCCTGCACTGATAACTCGATAACAAGGCACCTTGGAATTTTGAAATTCATACAACAGAGGCATCGCGTAAAAATCTCAGACAAGTTTCAATTTTAGTCGCCTCGACTGTCAGAGGTCAAGTTTTCCAAAAATCTTGTAATTGCGATAACTGAAGAAGGAAGTCACGTAGGATTTTCAAACATGAATCTACTAAATGTCTGAGGGGTCGCACTCGTGGCCACCAGCATTTTCATACATATGAGTTTACCTGGTTTGAGTTTTGCACGTCTCTTGCACTGTCTGGTGTTGCACTGTCTTTGTTTTGGTTTTTGCCATTTTGCACACTTGCACGTGTGCAGGCTGTCTGTCACATGTAGCACATGTAGCATGGTGTTGGAGTCACTGTGTGCCACTGCACATGGCTGGAATGACAATAAAGCCACTTGACTTGACCTAAGAGGAATTCATTGTGTGATAGTGCTGGAAAGTCTGACATTCATCTAAACTCCACTGGTACTGGTTAATACAGCAGTACATCTCAGTGTACCCGGTGCCCAAACACTCACACTGAATGTTCTTTACTAGCTATCGAGCTAGTGGGTAACAGACGTCTCTGAAAACGTCGGAGCGCTTTTGAAAATATGTGGTGTCCTGATAAACTGAGCAGATATTTGAGGTTTACACAGCTACATTCTCCCCTGAAAATATGTTAAACGTTTATTTTGTGACCCAGAAAGAATAATAAGAGTAATATTAAAACTAACTAGCTGCCGCCATTGTTGGAAACTAAGCTGGGCCGCGCTATGAATTCTGGGACACAGCTGCTTCTTCTTCTTCTTCTTCGGGGTTTAACGGCAGCTGGCATCCTTGTACATGCAGTGCTGCCATCTTCTGTTTCAGCCCGTTATTACACTCTTAAATCCTGCTATTCCTGCGTCTTTCAGGATCTTACAAAGCTTCAAACGACACGTCAACTATTAAATCAGTCGTCGACCATTTTGATAGTCGACGTAATCGTGACTAGTCGACTAATCGTGGCAGCCCTACTTGAAAATAGGAAGACAGTGGGGGAAACAGGAAGTCTACTTCAGAGTCAGGAACTCCTACAGAGTTAAGTTGACGGTGAATGTCTGAGATTTTACAAGTGAAAAAAGAGATGAGAGAGTTGCAAAAATCTGTCGTGCAAGAGAACAGCAGCGCCTTTTGCTAATCAGCCATATAGTTCATTTACATTTTATATGTCACCTGACGACAGGAAAAGGTAGATGATGTCATTTCCTAGCACTTTATACTGAGAGGTAAATACCCTGCAACATAAGAACTTTTACCTTGTACTAGTAAATCACCTTTTTCACCCTTCTGAAGGAGTCCTTCATGTTTGTGGTGTGTAGAGCATGTCATCAGCTGCTGTTTCGAGCCACTTGGTCCCTGAGAGTCAAGAGAGGACTGAGCATGTGATGGCTGCTGTGCTGTGGATCAATGAGCCTCTGAACAGCATGCTGAAAGACCGAAATCCTTGTGACCAGTTACAAATCGACGATATACTCAGGTAGCACCTAATACTACTTATTAGTAGTACTTCATTAGTAGTATTTTTCAGTGCTATGTGTTACCTTAAGGAACACGTGTCATATCATGTTCAGTCACAAAAACCATTTAACACATCTGTGCTGAAGTGGCCACTGAAGCCAGGATCCTGGACATGAACTGGGAGGTGTAAGAAACAGATTTGACTGCAGTCTACTGACATTCACGCTGTACTTCTCTTGCTCTTCTGAAAATCTTCCTTAGGAATCAGGCTTGTCAGGGATTGTTACGTTGATTAAACCACATTTTTATTTGCTCATCTGAAATGATGTAGCACTTTCTTTAAGGACCGCTGTCTGGAGGAAAAAGAGGTCCGGGACAGGGAGAGGCCTGAGGTGATTCCCTCTTCATCTCCTCCACAAACTAAAGACAAGAAGATCATTAATAAAGGTGAGTGAGTGGTAAGTCCTGCCCTGAGCTTTCTGTCTTTAGTCATCAAATGTCATCAAATGTGCGGTGACTCCCAAGCTAGGCGAGTGGCTCCAGCAGATCCCGGGAACAACATCGGAGATCTCTGTCCAGAAGAGAGCAGTCCTGGGAACAGCTAAGATACTGCGCAGGACCCTCAAGCTCCCAGGCCTCTGGTAGAGGACCCGAGCTTGAAGGATAAACCGCCCGGTGTTTTATTTTATAACACATAACCGACAAAAAGAGCTTTTAACTAGGGCTGGGTATCGTCAATCGTCGATTTCTATAATCGATTCAATTTTGACTCAGACAGTCAGAAAGTGTATAAAACAAAGCTGACACTGTGAGACTTCATCAGAGGTGTGAGCATCACAGCAGAGGCCTTTGTGTCAAAGTAATTGAGGATGAAACAGACAAGCATGACGGAGATTTTCCTGGCCTGGCTTTTTATAGCAGGTCAGAAAGCCATGAATCAAACCATGAATGAACATTACCTGATGCTGCTGAAGTGAAGCAGAGTTATTAAGGTTTGATTACAGACACAGCTGAGCAATCATTTGTAAAAGTTTACACGTCTTTGCTGTTAAACAGCAGAAATCAGACTTTGTTGTCGGAGGTCATTTTTGAAAAAACACAACTGTGGCCAGCAGCGCTGCACACAGCAGCAGACTGGTGCGTGATGGCAATGAATAATGCAGAAAACAGAGGTTTGATGGTAAACTGGTCTCTCAATACTGTGAGAGAGAGAGCTGTGCAGGAAGTGAGGTTTTATGGTGGTGGAAGCAAAAAACAGCCAAAGTCAGAGGGAGTTCATGACGCTGTTTGTCAAACGTGAAGCGTAGTTTGAGCTTCTTTTGCTGCTGGTTCGGTGAATTTTGGTCAGAGTGATGAAACCTGCAGCTGTGACATGTCTGGTAAAATACGTTTATATTTAACAATCGATTCAGGATTTAATCAATCGATGTCGCTTTATTGAAACTAAAATTGATTGGAATCAGAAAATTGATTTTTTTAAACCCACTCCTACTTTGAATATTTTGACGTTGTTATCCGATAGCTTTCCTTTCATTATTAGATAGACTGGCACTCTTTATGAGGCAGTAAGCGAAAAGGTTTGATCGTGTTGTGTTTGCTGTTAGGAAAGGATACAAAGAGGCACCTGAAATGGATTTATTTTCATCCTGTTAATCGCTGCGATGTCTCCCTCCAGCTCTCACTCTCTGCTCTTTCACAGCATTCAGTTTAATACAAAACTAATCATTTGTAATATCTCACACACAGTTTTTCTTCTTGTTTTGGCTGCTCCCTTTTTTGGTCACCACAGGGAATCATTTATCTTCATGTCATCCACCCTTTGCATTACCTCCTCCTGCCCTCCTTCAAACTTCGACTGTGTGCTCAAGCTTTCTTTTAGTGTAAACAGGAGTTTGTGAGCGATCAGTAAAATCAAAGTTCTCGTAGTCCTGCACCTTTTGAGCCATCTTGAATCAATTCTGGGGTCTTATTTGGTCCAGTTTTTTGAAGCATTACCCTAAAATTAAAACTTTCAATGTTTTGGTCACTGTGTTATAAAAACTGTGTAAAATCACCACTGTGGTCAGATTAAAAACAAAGAAACTGAGTTCAAAACAAGACTGGAAGTTTTGCTTCTCTCACTGTTTCTTGCTCTTGTGGAGGTTCAGGTTCTTTCTCTGATTAATCTTAGGTTTTTTTCTCTGTTACAAGCCAGAAATATGCTCCAAACTCTTTTGGGATTTTTATTATATTACAGATAAAAAGAGCATCGTGGAAAAGCCATTTCCTGCAGTGGAACCACAAAAGCCAGTTCTACAGGGAAGCTTGGCTGTTGGCTCAGTGTCGCTGGCTGTGGCCAAAACTGGGGCACAGATACAGGGCATCCATCTGTACGAATACATAGCAGCTCTGAGGAACCAGGAGGTTTGATAATGAAAACACATACTGGATATTCGACGCTGGAAACAACATATAATAATGTTATTCGTTTTGTTCAGCCTCCGGCACAGTTTCACATCCCTGTTTCCTTGGTGACATTGCTCAGCTGTGGCAAGACCTCGCCGGGAAAACTGAATTTACTGGAGGAAGTGATCCTGATCCCCAAAGTGGGACAACAAGTCAAACAAGTACAAAACAGAAACCTTTGGCTTACTTCTTCCTGTTGTCGTCCTCCATAGACTAGCTCACAGTTAGTGTGTAGATCTCCGTGTTTCCTTTTTTGCTGTTTTGATGCAGTAGATTATTAATAAGTCACCTTGGTTTCTTTATATTCTCCATTTTTCACTCTACAGTTTATAAAACATACTGAAATCTGACCTTCTTCCACAGATCATCACAATGGCTCTTGAGGTACAGAAGGAGATGATGAGAATAATGAAAACTTTAACCAATGGCGGGGTGAGGGACATTGCTGTTTATTAATTTTAAGAGTAGGCGCTGAATTCAGCAGATTGTATGAGGGCAGAGAATGCACACGGCGGAGGCAGGATTCAGAGATTTCCTGAAAAATATAACAGAGAATTGTATTCAGTGTTCATTGTTAAATTTGAAATTAATGTATCTGTGCTTATCTAAAGATCTAAAATGCTTCTTAAACGATTCCTCTATTTACCTGTGAATGGTTTGCATTGTTCTCCCCGGGAGTTTGCATGTTCTCCCCGTGTTTGCGTGGGTTCCCTCCGGGTACTCCGGCTTCCTCCCACCGTCCAAAGACATGCAGCTTGTGGGGATAGGTTAATTGATTAATCTAAATTGTCACTAGGTGTGAATGTGCGAGTGAATGTGAGTGTGAATGGTTGTCTGTCTCTGTGTGTTTGCCCTGCGACAGACTGGCGACCTGTCCAGGGTGTACCCCGCCTTTCGCCCTATGACAGCTGGGATAGGCTCCAGCGCCCCCCGCGACCCTGAAAAGGATAAGCGGAAGCGAATGGATGGATGGATGGATGGTTTGCATTTCATTTTCAGCCCTGCTGACTGACCCCTAGAACTAAAAAACAAAGAGTGGAGAGTGGGAGTTTGACACTCTTGGCTTCTAATAACCTTGCGATGAGGACTATCTCATTCAGATATACAGTATTAATATAAACTTGTCTATTGTCATCCACATGTAGCTTCAGCTAAGCTACTTTGCAGCAAAAATATCTAAACAAAAACATACTTTCACCAACATTGTCACTTTACAAGTACCAGGTTTGGTTGGACCGCCTTCTGCCCTCACAGTTATTTCATTTATTTTTCAGTAAGGTGTGAAAGCAAGTCAGAAGTTTTAGTCTATATTAGGATGATGTAGTCTAATTTTGATGAGCACCTTGCTCACTGCAGCTTCACTCTCCTCTTCATCCTCTGCTCCACAGCTGGACTCGTTTTGAAGTAGGACATGTAGTGATTATCTGCTTACAATTGTTTAGTAAGTGGCTAATTATAGTTCCTGCTTTAACCTGGCTGTTCTTTCTGGCCTCTGCCATCTACAAGCCATTTTCATCCAAAGAAGAGCTGCATTGGATGTTTTTTCTTCTTCTTTCTTCTTCCCCAGATTGTCTGCACCAAAAGTCATGCCATGTTGAAATTCAATAAAATCAGCTTTTGTCTCTATTCCAACCATAGCAAGTTCTACTCACCATGTTTACATGCCTAAATACAGCGAGTTTGTTCCACTGATTAGCTTTACTGAGTAGGTGCACCCAATAAAGTGTCTCACAGTTGTTAATGTATATATAATAGTTACTTATGTGAACCATGTGCTTGTTCCAAGGCCAGCGAAACATTTGTATGTGACAGCGGGGCCCTGGCTGTAAGCCACGAGCGAGCAGAGCAGCCTCTGGATCTGATCGCTGAAGCCTGCACCAACCTTGGAGTTCCACTGGGCACACAGATCCATTTAGCTTTGAACTGTGCTGCTCATGAGCTCCTGGACCCTGTAAGTTCACCAAAAATAGTCAAACACTTTATGGAAAATAATGTGTTGACATGTTCTTGTGAACTTTTTCAAAGCAAATACATCATAAGCACATCAGTTTAAAAAAACAACAAGATTTATCGTCTTCTTGCTGGATTCTCTAATCTCTTGTAGTCTAAGGGGAAGTATGAAGTTGCAACTGGAGTTCTGAAATCGCCCGATGAGTTAGTCGACCTGTACCAAACCCTCATCAGCAAATACCCAGCAGTGGTGGCTTTAATAGACCCATTTAGGCAAGAGGTAAGCAAGGCTAGTAAATAAATCTTGGACTAGTTCTGTGTCTTCTCTAAATGTAGTTTTGCTGTCAACAAAATGTTCATGATTGCTGTGTATTCATGTTCCTGTGTCTGTTAATTCATAAGGACAGAGACCAGTGGGAGAAGCTGAGCAGTATGATTGGAAACTCGTGTTCACTGCTCTCTGATGTCTCCTACAAGTCACAGGGACCTCCCCTTCCTGGAGTCAGAGGCCATATCTTAAAACATATCAATGAGACAACAGTCAGTGACCTGATCCACATGACATCAGAGCAACAAGGTAACAGCTGGAGAAGAGAAAGATGGCACATGGATGAATGAAGCAAACTGCATAAAGTGCAGTGAGTGGTCAGGTAGAGTAGAAAAGCACTATGTAAGAACCAGTCCATTTACCAGTTACATCAGGTCCAAGTAACAGTGAACAACTCAGTTAGTTGCAAAAATGAAATGTTTGCAATAGGAGTATTCCTTATGCTTCCTCTTCAACAGTCAATGATTTCTTCCGCAACCTGTATAATTAATGGTACAATGCATCTGGTACACATTTACACACAGCAGACAGTGATGTTCATCTCAGGCTCACTCTTAAAAATTTGCTGACCTTACTCTCTTACACTCCAAACTGAGTAATATACAGTAACTTGTTGCAAAAAGAACTGATCCAACATATTCTCTCTTTCAACATCTAACATACATGTAAAATACTACATACTACATGCTTCTTGGTGTAATTCAACATGCACAGCTATGACCCAATATTGCATCTTTCTAAATGAGGATTGGATTAAATAAAAAGCCTGTACATCATCAGAAGGGTAAAACTAACCAATCTCAGAGTGGTCTAATCCTGCTGTCACAGCTGGTCAGGCTGGACTCAATGCAGGACTCTGGGTCATACAGGTAAGATATATACATATGTACATTGATGAAGGATCACGGCTCCAGGGGAGGTCCAGGGCATCCAGGGGAGGTCCAGGGCAAGGGTAACACGTCTACACTCCTCTTCACACATTCTGTGACTCACACGCTCACAGACTCACTCCACACTGAAATCCACTCACGCTCACGTTCATCCAACAGGGTCCACAGGAAACAAGAAGGGTTCCAGGAAGGTTGAGGTAAGTACAACGATCCAATGAAGAACATCACCGACATGTAAGGGTTGAGCTGAGACACATGGAAAAGAGTATTTCTGTGCATGCTCCGAGGACGCTTCAACTAGACTGAGACAAGGTTGACCATGGAGTCAATCTCAAACTGCCCATTGAAGTTGGGAGCCAGTTTCCTGGACTTGATTCAGACTGGAATGTACTGCGCTGAAAGCAGTCCATCGGTTTTCCATTGGGCAGCTCAGGTGGCTCTCCAGATGTGGCGGTGCCTGCGTAGATGATGTTGAACAGAGGGAACCATATGCTCACTCTCAGCTGTTGGGAACAGCCGCCGTTGGTAGCCCTGTGATGCGACAGCAGACGTGAGGCTAATATGGGCATATTCGATGCAAGTGAGGTAAGAACTCCAGGTGCTCTGTTTGGTGGAGGTGAGACAGTGAAGTGCTGCCTCCAACTCCTGGTAGGTACATTCGGTTTGGCCATTAGTCTACAGGTGAAATCCTGAAGACAAACTAACCTTGGCTCCGACTGCCGGACAGAACCCTTTCCAAACTCTAGACTTGAACTTGTCCCGGGTCTGATATGATGTCCAAGGGGATCGCGTGAAGTTGAAAGACAGGTTTGGTAAGGATTTGGGTGGTTTCTGTTGTGAGGAAAAGCCACGAAATGTGCTGGTTTTGAGAACTGGACAACAATAGTCAGAATGACCATATTTCCTGCAGAAGGAGGAGGCCTGTCATAAAATCAAGTGCGATCTGAGACCATGGTCGTCTGGAGGTCGGCAGAGGTCGAAGTAGGCCTGCAAAAGGAAAGGTTTGAGGCTTATTTTGAGCTCAAGTAGAGCAAGCTAAAATATGCTCCCTGGTATGCCAAGTGTAGGCCACCAGGCGTTCCAGGAAAGAGATGGTCTGATTGATGCCTGGATGCCAGGTGAACCTCGCCGTGTGGTCCCACTGGAGAACTCAGGACTGGACCAGGGTTGAAACGTAGAGCCACTCGGGCGGCCTGGTTCTGGGATCAGGTTTGTTGTACTGTGCCTCACAAACTGTGGACTTTATCCCCCATGTAACAGCTCCGATAACATGAGGAAGATTGAGGACTCCTTCAGAACGTCTTCTGAGGAAGAAAACTGCTGAGACAGTGCGTCGGGCTTGACATCCCGTGAACCAGGCCTGTAGGTGATAGAGAACTGAAAATGTGTGAAAAACAGTGCCCACCTGGCTTGATGGGCGCTCATCCGTTTTGCAGTTTGACGATACGCCAGGTCCTTGTGATCAGTCCAGACTATGAATGGTTGGGGCGTTCCCTCGAGCCAGTGATGCCAGGGCTAACTTGATGAGGAGGAGTTCTCTATCCTCCACATTGAATTCACGAAAGAAGTAAGCAAAAGGATGTAGCTTACCTTCATACTGCTGCGAGGTGATTAAAAGCAGCCTAAGAAGACTGATCCCACGGAAAGGGAACCTTGGGAGAGGTGAGTGAGATATTAGACGATCTTACTGATATTCCAGATGAAGCTGCGATAAAAGTTAGTTAAACCCAAAAAGCATTGGAGCTGCTTCCAATCTGGGGGTTTGGACCAGTCGAGTACTCGTCGGACCTTCACTGGGTCTGGTTTGATGTTCCCCTGCTCAGTAATGAAGCCCAAGAAGGAGACTGTTTCCATGTGAAATTCACATTTCTCAGCTTAAACAAATAGACGGTTTTCCAGCAAACACCTGTTTGACAGTCTATAGGTATATAAAAAGATTGCAAATTATTGCCACAATGGTGCATTACCGTAACAGCTAACTGTCTGTTTGTGTCTTGTTGGCATACAGGTTCTGTGTTGATGGGAACTACATGCAGTGAGCCATGCAGTGAGGATTCTTTGTCAGATATAGTAAGTCTTCTTCCTGGTTTCTGAGTGATGCTGCCATGGTGGCGAACAGTGTCAATGTGAAGTTCTGTATAAGCAGACGGCAGCAATCTGCTTATACTGAAATTCACACTAAACAGAAATTTACATGAACTACTTACATTAAAAGTATAGCCAAACCCATAGATTTAAAACAGATATTCGTCTACAAATAGTGACAGAATTTCTGCATGACAGTGCCTTACCTGAAAAATGATAGGTGCCCAGCAGCCTCGCTTTGTGTGTAACCAGAATGCAACCAGCTGGTAACCAGTTGAGTCACACTATTGCACTGACCAGTTTCAGAAGTATTGTGCTTATCAGCACAGACTCACTTAGAATGATTTCCATTTGATGGCAATATTTTCGCATTTCCAAATTATTATCATTTTTTTTTCAAATATTATAAATTAAGATCATATACCTAGCCCTTTATTTGTCATGTGCAAATAAGGGGATATCTATCTTAAAGCTCAGGAAACTATTTCGACAACTTGCCAAACAGCTAAAAGAGCAAATGAGAGCAGGTCCAGAGATATCCACTACAACCTGAGATTCTGGCAAAATACATTTATATTTAAAAATAGATTCAGGATTTAATGAATCAATATCGCTTTATTCAAACTAAAATTGATTTGAATTGGGGAAATTGGCTGTCTCAGTGCCAGCTCTGACAGGATGACCAAGACTATTGACTCCCTGTTCACCCTGCAGCGATGTTTGGCCTGGAGGCAGCTGAACTATTACAGCAGGCTCAAGATAGTCATTGCTGTGCCAAGGAGGTGTCAAGGGGCCTCTCCAGGAGATCTAGCAGTTCTAGAAGGTCTAGGGCTTCCACATATCAGCCAGCTTCTGAAGTCCCAGACTTACCCTCGGACCAGGCCAACCATCCCCATCCCTGTCTCCCCAGCGCAGGGCGACTTGGTCAGCTCTGGAGGCAGACCTTTGGTTGGTGTCTACCTTGACTGAGGGCTAATGCCTGCTGTTCTTCCGTAGACCTTGAATGACCATCTTGATCCTTTCCTCAGTGCGCGACCCCCAGCAATTCCAGATACTGCGGGAAAAACTTGGCCCTCTTGGGAAAAGGTTCAACACAGGAAGTGGATGCCGATAACTGACAAGCTGGGTTCTCTCCCCACTACTTTTTAGTTCTTAAGCGGGACAGGAGACTTCACTCAATTTTGGATTTCAAGAGGTCTTAACCATTATCGTCAGCCCCTAAGATGCAAGATGCTGATGAATCCGGGGGTGAGGCAGGCTGTCAAAGCTTTAGCTTGCCACCATCAAGCTAAAGTATGTCTACTTCCAGATTCCTATCTGGCAGGGGCTCTCCCCCGGGCTCAGGCCAGGGGAGCAGAGACTCCATCCGCAGATGTTCGACCAGATCTGGTGCCACTTTGTAAGAGTAGAGGTTGACCTTTTTGCCTCCAGGAAGTAAACAAATTCCCTCACCCTAACCCACCAGGGCTGCCTACTCCTTTTGCTGGGGACTGTTTGCCTCTCTGTTTGCAGTCCACCAGTTGGGAAACTGGCGCCACAATTGACACCACCATGCAATTTCTGCAGTCAGGCTTGAACCTACACCACTGTACTCTGGTCATGTGGACTTTGGTCAACTGCTTGCCCACTGAGCTAAACAACACTGCTCAAGTGACCTACTCAAGTGCCCTGAGGGTCGTGCCCTCTGAATATCTACTAGATGATAGGAGTGCAGGTCTACAGACAATTCTTACTGTGACCATCACCAGTACTAACCAGCTGATCTACACAATACAATGGCTTGCAAAAGTATTGGGCCCCCTTGAACTTTCCCACATTTTGTCACATTACAGCCACAAACATGAATCAGTTTTATTG